GGCCAAAGCAAGAAGACAGCCATCTACGAACAAGGAAGTGGGTCCCCGCCTACACCTAATCTGCCAGCACCTAGATCTTGGGCTTCCCAGTTTACAGAACTGTGAGAAATAAATTTCTGTTCTTTATGTTAGTCTATGTTAGTCTATGGTAGACCCATTCAGTCTATGGTATTTTGTTAGAGCAGTATAAGCTGACTGAAACAAAACTTTCTGAACAAGTTTTGTTCATTTCAGCTGCCTCAACATTTAGAAACTCATATGATCTCAATCATGTATTTTGAAATTACTATAAAAAAACACATTTTTTAAAGATGTATGTTAGAATTTCATTATAGCACCATCTTTAAGGTGCTTATCACAGGACTAGAGTTAAGAGCACATTTTTTATAATGAAATCATTTTGAAATGAATTTAATGTACTCTTACAATGAATTTGAAATCATAATGAAATTCTGTATTTTAAAGAACCAATTATCACTAACACTTTTATATGTGACTTGTCTTTTTTATTAAGGCATAAAAGGGAATAAATTTATCTGTTTGATAAAGTGTAATCAAATGCTATGAAAGCAATAAAACAATATTCAAAACCAATTATTTAAACATAGCCTTCTTTGAGTAGCATTATTTACAATATCTACTAGATTTCTTGACAATGACATCAGTTCCCCTTTTCTAGTTCCAAAAGTATGGGTATGTAAATCCTTTGGCAAATCCTTAGTACCAAAATTATGTGTTTAAATTTAGATTTTATACACTGCAAGTCATTATCTGAATGTATAGCAGGACAGACATTAAGTATTAGTGCTTTGGGATGAGAACTAGTAAAATAAGAGGACTAATAAAAATGTGAAATAATTTAAAACAGCTTGTGGACTAAAAAGGTTGGATGGAATATTCACTCTTATATGAAAGTTATAGGCCAAATATGTATAATAATTTTGATCATAAATACTAAAGCATCACAATGAATAGTTATAATTAAAATTATAAATTGGTGACATACTATTAGAAGTGTGCTTTCCCTTTTATGAAAACTTTTGAAAACAACACTTATACCTGGGTTTCTTACCGAGAGAGGGTAATAAATCTAATAAAAATTAACAAATTTCCTCAGTAAGGTATTTTTTTCTTAAATTAGCAATATTAAATTAAATTAAAGATTAAAATAGAAATAATCAGGATGCAGATGTGGCTCAAGTGGTAGAGCATCTACCTAAATAAGAGCAAAGCCCTGAGTTCAAAACCTAGTATCACCAAAAAAAAAATAGAAGGAATTAGTTTTTACAAGAGGTTTCGATCCATCTTACCAGGTCAGTACTGCGTGTAATTAATGTTCTCCCAATAGCACAGTGGCCAAGTTACTCTCCACAGAGATGTTAATGTGGCCCACAGGGGAAAACACACTTTTATTTTCTTAGACTCTCTGTGGCTTCCTCTGAGTCATTCACCTTTTCCTTTTCTCTGATTACTTTGTCATATTCATTAGTGAGATGCAAATAATTCTTTAATATATGCCTCCTTAAGTTCAGACAAAGAAGCTAGTTCTTTCTAGCTTTTCACTTTCTGAAACTTTACTGACCCATAGTCCAAAAGCATTAAGTGGAAAAATACAGAAATCAACAATTCTTAAGTTTTAAACTGTGCAAAATTCTGAGTAGTGCAATGGATGATGAAATCTCCTACCTTTTCATTCTGCCCCACCTAGGACAGGAATTACCACATTGTCCAGTGATTCCATGCTATATATTCATCCCGCTCGAAACTCACTTAGTGTCTTCTCAGTTATCAGATCGACTGTGGCAGTATTGCATGATTATGTTCCAATAACCTTTATTTTACTTAACAATGGCTTCAATATGCAAAAGTGATGTTGTTAGTTGCAGTATACCAAAGAGAAGCCATAGAAAGCTTATTTGAAGTCAAAAGGTGAAAGTTTATTTTATATGTACATACATACATACATACATACATATATATATATGAAAAAAGCATAGGATTTCTAGGGTTCAAGTAATAGCCTCCCAATTTTAGACATTCACTGGAGTCTTGGAATGTGTATCCCATGGATAAAAGTGGACTACTAGTACTAAGTTTCAATGATTCTTTTTCCTCTGAAAGCAGTCTTTGCTTTAGGAAAATTCATGCAAGCAATTTATTGCTACATCAAAGACACTGTGCAATTAAATAAGCAACTCCTATATGACTAATTAGGAAATCATACTACAGAAAAAGGAAGAAAAAAAGATGAAATTGCAATCAACTAAATGTTAAAAGACAAGGCAAAGAGAGAAAAGGTTGTAGAAAACAGCAGAGGCAGAAGGTAAACAGAGAGAGGACACAAAGTTTTGTAATTCAATGTTCTCAACATTCGTAATGAAAGTGACACAACTTTTAATATATGGCACAAATGCTTTGACTAGAAAAGTACTAAGTTTCATGGTGGAACAAATTAGAGTATTTGCTTTTATAAATTTCTCAAAGTATATTCCTATCTATGTCTTAACTCTAAAAGTCTTTCATTTTTAAAGATTCAAATTCTTGGTGATATTATATAAACAAGACAGTCTTATTAATTTTGGAGTTTTATGCCCATAAATAATATCTATTTCTCAGTGCCCTCTTCCATAAAATGGGAATAAGAATACGTACCTCACTGGGCTATTGGAAATTCTTAACAAGATAAGGCATGGAAGGTTGGCACTTAGCTGTGTGCACAAATTCTACATATTGTTATATTTTATTGTAACTAGCAAGTAGAAAAAAATTATTAGCATTATGCCTGTTATGCAGTTGGTGAAAGGAGATTTAAAATGAAAGAATGGTCTCTGCCATCAACAAAAAAAATCAGTTTCATTAAATGAGTAAATATACTACATCAGTGATTTTCTATATGGACTAGATTTCAGCATAGATTGTTGAATAAAATGAAACTCTTATTTTAAACAATTCACCGATTCAAATGTTTCATCAAGTTTAAAGATCAGTGTTCTAGATGAATACTTTAAAAATATACTCATAGACATATGGTTACATTATGTAAGTTACATACTCTAATATGTTCCTTATACTTTTGTATTTATCCATGTACTTCTGATTTTGAACTTTGTGACATTTACAATTACCTCTCTTCACTGTCCCAAAGACTCCCAAAGATCTCTTAGCTCCAAAACACATTCCACCTCTTTAACTAAAGCTTTTTCATTCCTCCATCATAAAATAAAATATCACTCTTCTGAAATCCTAGAGCCAAAGAGCAAATATTTTAGGCTTTGTAGGCTAAGTCACAGCTACTCATGTTTTCCCGATAGTGAGAAAGTAGTCACAGAAAACATGGAAATAAACAGGTATGGCTGTAGTTCAATAGCATTTTATTAAAAAAAAAAAAAAAAGAGCAGGCAGTGCGCTGGATTTGGTCCAAAAACTATACTTTGTCAACTACAGTCCTAGACAAGTATTTCTCTATTATTTATTATTTTATTTTATCATTATTTATTATTTTGTTTTAGCAGTTATACTCTGGAATGCACCATGCATGCAACACATAATATTTTTGAAATTACAGTCTCCTGGCAAGAAGAGGGGTCCAGGAAAGATGTCTTACACATATTTTTTGACATGACTCTTTGCAGGCTACTTCATAGAGCAATTCTTAATTATTTGCTGGTTTGCACTGAGGTAAAATATTATAGCAAGACCGAGTTGCCATCAGTATCATACCTGCCTCTGAAACATGTGCTGAGGCATTGACTCTTGCATGCTCTGATGGACAGCTCTTCTAGCTAAGCCTTTATTCCATCTACCTGTAAATGAATATAATCTATCTATTTGGTAATAATGAGAATTAGAGATACTGTATATAAAAGAGCAGACACACAGAAGGCACTTAAGTGTTATCAATAATTATGTTGGTGTATGTTTTGTGTTTCAAAGTGAGAAAATATCTTAGGTAATAAGATGATTGTTTTACTCTTTGTGGTAGTTTTCAAATGTGCTCATATGTGCTATTATATACAAGTGGAAATGAAGGAATTCGCATCTTAAAATTCCCTTGGGATATACTCCAAATTATATCCCAACTCTGTAGCTAAGTGAAAAACTCAGCAAGCAAATATGTTTGTAACATCAGTATAAGTGTCCTTTAGTATGTTCCAAAAAAAAAAAAACCCAGAATTTTTTACATAGTGAAAAGATGAACATTATTGTCATGTCAATACATTGTTTCTTTTCTGAACCTCCTACTTGGCTCAGGCTGTGAAGTACAACGTTATAACTCATAAATCCCTATGAACAAAACAGAATTCTTTGGGAATAGGAAGCTGTTCTTGAAAATGCACTGAAAACATAAGCAGGATAAAAATGAAATGATTATGATTAACATTTGTCAGTTACTGGCATTATTTATTTACTCACCAGCAACCAACCATGAAATAGGCTTATCAATTGTTTTCAAAATGAAGAAACTGGGTTCTAAAAGTTTACATATAAATTTTAGACAAACACCTCAAAAGTAGCTAAGTCAAATTACATAGTGGTCTACCTACTCCAAACTCTCTAATCTAACAAACAAAAGAGATGGAGAAAAAAGAAGAGAGTGAAGACAGAACTAGAGAATGAGACAGACTATAGAGATGATGCTGGAAGTCTACAAAAAGTTGGCTCAAAGGCATAAATTGCTTAACCTTATTTTTAGTTTATGTATAATTATTTGTGTAATTAAAAACTAAAAGGCAATTACCTGTTTTATTCATAGTCATCTCTATCACATCTTAAAATAGTCTTTGGAACAGAAATGTAGGTGTGAAGAGATTGCATTCTCTGGCTTGAAATACATCAGAGGCTTTCTTCACATTTCCCTTTCAATTTAGATTCAATATATGCATATCAAATTCTCCAAATTCTCCTCTCTTCATACACCCACTATGGGAGTCCTGTCATCCCCATACATCCTACTTGCACCACCTTGCAACCCAGCTAAAGAGTTTACAACTTGGACTTACTGTTCTTCAGTTCACAATGGCTCCTCCAGCTTCCCTGAGTAGCAGTAAGAAGTCAGTATTTCTGAAGCTTCCTAGCTTGCCTCCAAATACCTCCTTGAAATAGTAAGAAAAGTTCATTATTGTTGCATGTTTTAACAGATCCAAACTTATACTTAGTCTGTTGTTTTTAAATATTTATCAAATTTACTCCCTCTAGAATGCCTTAAAATCCACTGCAACATTGATTGTTTGAATGTACTAATGGTGAAATGAGTATTGTGGTTAACAGTTAAAATCTAGTCTATTCTACTGACAAGATATGTCACCTTGGGCAACATATTTCACCTGGTGCTCTAATCTCCTGTCTAACACGAGGATAACAGCTATCCTTCCTCATAAGGTTTTGAAGAGCAGTTAAGACAGGTAAAGTTCTAAAATGATGCCTGAAAAGTGGAAATGTTTAATAAACACAAGGCATTTTCACTTAGAAGTTAATGTATTTTTACCAAATAGTCATTTCACTAGCCTAGAATTCCTAAATTTGCTTATTAAATATATACATACATGGCATATTTATTATTTTATCTCTGATGTCACTAATCTACAAAGGAAAAATTTTACTGAACAGCTAATCTCCAATTGCAATCAAAATTTAAAGTGAAGTTTCCTTCATCCCTTTCTATAGTCTCTTCATTTATTCATTCATTACAATGGAGGCCACAGAAAGAAATGTTCATCCCTGAGATACCAGAGTTTCTCCCAGAGGGGGATTACTACATATACCTTGAGTTCCCACCTTCTCACTTCACCTGAAGGTATTACAATGGCCAGCTGTGTCATGAACAACAGTTTAAATATTTTTATACATAAACAACCACTGTGATCCTTGAAATATTCTGGATATTTCTGGACTTTCTTAACCTTGAGTGCCTCTAAAATATAATGGTCCTGATACAGAGCTTAGCCAGTTCACATGAAGCCCAGGTGGAAAGACCAAATATGTTGAATTCATAGAGAAAACATGAGACATATAAGCTGTCATCACATATGTATAGGCTTTCATTCCACAAAGAGATTTACTTTGTCAGCCCCAGAAAGTTGAGTAAACACCCTGGGGAGAAAAAAGGGATTTAGTAACAATTGAAACTTTCCTTAAAATAATAGGCTGTTTCCTTGTGTGTACTTAAACTATAAATGTTGTTTACTGAAGATGCTTAGGGTGGAACAGGAACCATATATAAAAGTGGGAACACTCAGATGTTCTCTAATAAGTCTACAATCCACCTAAATGATAAAGTAGATATGAATACAGACATGTCATTATTCCTGACATACAGAAATCTACAGCATATTGAGAAACAAACACTTGTACAAAGGCAACTATAACTGAATGTTTAAAACAAAAAAGGTTTTATAAATGCAATGCTACTACAATCTTAGCAAACTTGTTTTACCTATCCAGAAACTTCAGAAGGAATTTGAATTTGTGTGTAAACTAAATTTTGAAGGTGAATTTAAAGCTAGAAATGGAAATACTAGGAAGTTATAGAATTTCAAGATAAAAGAACAGCATGACCAAAGATATTATGCGTGAAACAGAATGAGGATGAACAAAGTACAGGGAGAGTTCAGTATGACTTGAGTATGAAGGCAGTGAGAGAAGCTGTTTAGAATTACATCATGCAGGGAGACATGAAGGTAAGGGAGGTATGCTGCGAGAGACTATCTGATGGCATGTGTATTTTGGATGTATAATCTAGCTTGGGATGACATGGGCGTTATTCCCACTGAGGCAAAAGTGGAGGTCAAACAAATAACTTTGGTAATCAATAGAATAGAGACAAAAGAAAAATCCAAAATAGAAGTTGAGGAAAGCAAACTTTACTGAATAGAAAATTAAAGGAGATCTAAAGAAGCAGCAGCAAAAGGCAGCCAGGGAAAATGAGGAGCACGTGGAAGTCAAACAAAGAGTTCACAAAGCAACAGGCAACAACAACCCTGAAAGATGCTGAGAGTTTAAAGCAAATGAAGACAGGGAACCCATGAAGTCAATGACAACCTGATTATTAAATGTTAATACTTATTATACTTTATGAAAAAAAGAATTTATTTCAAATTACAGTGTTTTCAGACAAAATTATTATTTTATCCTTTGAGGAGAAATAATTTTTTATTTAAAGATACTCTAACCCCAAGGATAATTCTTTAGACATTATCAATCTATTTACACTGGCCCCTAGCTTTCAATCACATCTAGTACCATTCCACTAGGAGATATATTAAATTGCAGAGGGGCACTTTCAATTGTTATAAAGATTGAGAAGGTATTAATATATTTTAAAAAACACAGTCCACTGTTAATGACTATGTGACTCTCCACATTCATACTGGACAAGAACAGATACATTCAGGGTGGTATGGCCACTGACAACTATTCATAATTTGAAATCCTTACTTCCAAGGTAATAGTATTAGGAGGCAGGACCACTGGGAGGTAAGTGGATAATCAGATAGAACCCTCATAAATGGGGATGGTATCCTTCTAAAAAGGACCACAGCTCTCTCTCTCTCTCTGCCTCTCTGTCTCTCTGTCTCTCCACCTCATGAAAGTCGCAGAAAATGGGGCTGTGCAGCATGGAGTATGATACTCACAAGAACCCAACCAGGCTAGCATCCTGATCTCAGGCTTCCAACCTCCAGAACTGAGAGATACAAATTTCTGTTGATTACAAACCACCTAGCCTGTCATAATTTGTTATAGCAGCCTGACTGGCTAGGACTATTACTGTCAGATTCTAAATGTCATGATGAAACAAGCAATTCCTACACAACGAAGAGGTGTCCCACCAAAATGTCAATAATCTCACTCATTGACAAGTACTGTCACACAATACTGCCATCACTGAATGCATCACTGGCATGTCTGAGAAGTACTGAATGGATCTTCAGAGTCTGGAATTTTAGAAAATCAATTTGCAAATAAGGCAAATATTATTAACATAGTCCATTCCCTAGAAACTTGTTAAATACATGTCTTTTAGTTTTACAATTTATTCATGTCTAATTTAGTTAGAAAAGAAGTAGGTCTTTAACTCAATTACTTAGAGGGTAGCTTCTTCATATACATTAACTTCTTCATACATTATGCTATGGTTTGGATGTTGAAGATCCATGTTAAAGACTTGATCTCTAGGGTTGCAACATTGGGAGATGCTTGGAGCTTTTAAAGGTAGAACCCAGAGGTAGGTCCTTAGGTCATTTAGGCATGTTCTTAAAGAGGATTATGGGACTCTTGTCTCTTTCTGCTCTAATTCTAGATGTGACCATTTGTTCCTACATGGATTCCTACCACGGTGTGCCCTTGATCACCACCCTCACAAATGCCAAACCAATGTCTTCTTTCTCCATCTGATCCTTGAACCTTCAAAACTTTTTTCTCTTTATAAGTTAGCTGCCTCAAGTATTTCATTGTAATAATATAAAGCTGACTAATACATCATTCTTCCACATAATAGCCTTAATCAGAATCTAATTTAAGGCAAGTAACATCGTGTAACTATGTGGCAAAATAACAAAATGTTTGAAATAAAGTGCTTTCTTTAAAATACCAACAGGAAATTCCAAGATGGTGGCCAGAGGGAGAAAGCAGAAAGCGTGCCTCCTATAGTGAAATCTTGGAGAGATGCTGGAGACACACCTTGCAGGCAAAACCAACAAGATGAGGCAAAACTTTGACCCCTCCACACCTCCAGCCGGCGAAGAGCATCTCCACTTGACGTTAAATGGAGAAACAAGCAGGGCCCCTAGGCCGCCAGTTGCCCACTCCCAGATGGCTTGGGAAGACACGGACAAGGTGAGCTTAGCGGTACCACGGTACTCCCATAGACAACCCTGGGCCAGATCAGCATAGCCCCCTGGACAGACCGACCTCCACCCAGGGAAAAAAGAGAAACTGAGTAATAAGCAATAAGAATAAATAAATGCGCAAAAGAGGGTGGGACACACTGAGTGCCGAATATTGGGGGAAGGGAATCCTTCCCGGAACTGTAAATAAACAAGCCAGGCGGGCAGGAGAGGCTCCGGAGGGAAAGGGGGCGCAGACCCAGCAACCAGGAGCAGGAAAGCTTGTGAGAGTGGTGGAAGGAGGAAAACTCCACAGGAGAGAGAGGAAGACCCACCTCCCATGGGAGCTGTAAACAAACATGGCAGCTGGAAGGAGCAGCAGCACCACCCAGTAATCAGGAGCAGGAAAGCCTGTAAAAGTGGTGGTGGGAGGAAAACTCCACAGGAGAGGGGGGAAGACCCACTTCCCACATGAACTGTAAACAAACACGCAGGCCTGAGAAAGCGGGTGCAGTGTCACCTCCCCCAGTGTGCTTGGAAAGGGGAAAGCATGTAGCAGAGGCTCCAGCACAGGAGAACTCTGAGTAAACAATGCCTGCAGGGCCAGGTGAGTGTTAAGCTCACCTCTGAGATCTGCATAAGTAACGCCTCCAGCAACAGCAGGCTGACAGCAGCGGGCAGGCAAGCCACAGCCACAGATACCATTCACAGAACTGTCTCCAGGCTCTTTTTTCTTTTTTTTTTTTCTCTCTCCATACCATTGATGAAAAAACAACTGAACAACACCTGCATACTGAAAAACTTACTGAAACTGTATTGCATTTGAACTTGGGACACTTTGTGAGTTTTTTTGTGTGTGTGTGTGTGTGTGCAGTTTTGTTCTACTTTATGCATCCCCTTTGATGAGACAACTACAGAACAACATCTGAGGCACCATCTCCAGGATTGGAGACTGAGATGGACACCAAAATATTTAAGACTGAAACATCATTGCATTTGAACTTGGAGGATTTTTTTTTATTATCTATTTTTCATTATGTTTTATTTTATTTATATATATATATATTTCTTTCATTTACTTATTTTTTATTTTTATTCTTCTCTTTATTCTTTCTTTTATTTTCAATCCTGTCTCTCTAATGCCTGTTCAGCTTACTGTCGATTAGTACACTAACGCTCCCTGTTTATACCTTTCAAACTTTCTTGTTTGATTCCTTGTTTTGTTTTCTCCTACTTGTCTGTTTGTTTTTCCCTTTTCTTTAACTTGCTTT